AGAGAGAGAGAGAGAGAGAGAGAGAGAGAGAGAGAGAGAGAGAGAGAGAGAGAGAGCTCTCGCTCTGCGGCACGCCCTGTTGGTGTTCACTCGAGGGCCTGTTTCATTAACGTTTTCGTGGCTATTAATATTTTCACTTGAATAATATTTCACCCCCCATCCACGCCACGCCCCACACGCGGTCGCACGGCAATACAACCGCCACTACAGGTGTTTGCCTGGGGCTCATGGGCTCGTGGCCGCCTCGGCCTGGGAAGGCCTCCCGAACGCACAATCGGGCGCAAGAAGAAAGTCCCCCGCTTCCAGGGAATGCCTCGAAAGGTCGTCGGTCTTGGGCGGTCGCCGGCCGTCCAGGTGCGGACGAATGACCCTGCGAGTTGACGAGTACGTGTACTGGTACGACATTTCACACTCCTCGAACTCGAAACCTCGACCAGCAAAATCTGCTGCCGACGTAATTAATTTGAAAGAGAAGGCATATTACTTTGTTGAGTATTTTGCAGCATGCCGTGGGGAGGTAGTCGGGGCTCCGGGTTTGAGATGTGGGCGAGCGGACCGACGCTGTTGCATCTGACTAGGTCGTGAGACATGCAGTACTTTGAAAAAATACCGTGCCCCCCCCCCAGAGAGACACCCCCTCTGTCCATCGGGGTTGGGTTTTCGTCGCGTGGCAACAACGTTGTAAAACAAGCCGCCCCTCCCGCCCGGTGTTTGCCANTCCTCCGGGTTTTTTTTTGGCGGTAACCATAATGGTGGTCGAGTAGATCATGTTGTGCGGGGTGGAGAACCTTCACTCCGCGCAAGGGGGATGATCGCACCACGTTGTGTTAAAATGGTCAAGCACCCTCGAGGCAGTTACACAGTGCTTACAACTGTCTCTGGAAGTGAAAGCGCCAGAAAATAAATTAAGTCACACGAAGCTGTCATCCGTACGCAAGGCAGTAAGCACAAGATGCCAAACACCCTTAGCAGGATGCAGCGCACCCTTCATGCGACTCGCCGACTATCTCACGGCGCTTCGCGCTTGGTGATGTGAGAGCCTGGTCCGGTGAAAACCCGGCATGCTTTGTAGGGATGCGAGGTCAATGGTCTAACGACTACGGCATGCACGACTATGAGTATACCCCCCCCCCCCCTGGCCTTGCTTTTGGTCCGTACACTAGTCTCAAATATCTCCCCAACATATCAATAAGAATTTCCAGGAAACGATTCATCGTTGTCGGTGCGCAACGACCAATATACATCGAAAACGGTTTATTTGGAGATGACAAACTAACGCCACGCTACAGGTGGCTGCCGGTGCATGGCACGGGATGGCGCTCACCGAAGACGGAGAAGTGTTCACGTGGGGTCACAACGCTTCAGGCCAGGTGACGAAGCCACGACTAGAACGCAGTGCAAGCTTGTGACCCTGCTGCTCAGCTGTCTGTGTTTCCTCCCGCTACTTGGGTGAAAGTAGTCGACGCACTCTGGGAGGTTTAAGCCCCTCTAGACCTGGAGCAAGCACGCCACCCTTGGGTTGTGTATATATTTCCCATGCAGGATTCATTCTCTCTTGTTTATGTCACAGACTTGCTTGTGTTGTCTACGCTCATAATCCCCGACTTTGCATCGCGCTGCGAGACGCTGGGTCAGACTAAAGTGTAGCAGGCATTGGGCCGTCACCCGTATTTTCTCGTGTCTTTTTGCTCTACGCTGTCACAAAGCAGCTCGGGTTCTTGGTCACGCCTTCTCCCGTGAGCCAGCGCCGACAGCAACAGCAGCAGCCTGCTTCGAAGAATGCACCCACGCCAGCAACGTCTACGACGAGCTTGTCGGAAATGCTACGGGCTTCGTGGACGCCGGTCAAGCTCCCCGCTTTCGGGAAAGCCTCCGAGCGTCACGAGGAACCGCAAAGGGCACCCGCGGCGGAGGTTCTTGGGCGCGAAGAGAGGTGCGCAGTGTTTTAGTAGGACCGTAGCTGTAAACATGCCATTGATGATGTAAAAAACAATAGTCTTTTGATGCTGTCGAAACGTCACGTGTGACCGCCACCTCTCACACATCGTTGGTCCCAGATATGTAGTCTTCCCGTTCAGAAACCGTGGGTATGCGGGATGGAAGCAATCGACTGCTCGTGGTTGTACGTACAGCGACCGTGTAAGACTGCGCCTTGACAGCGACAACTTCAAAGGACGTGGGGACAATGCAGCTTTCCCGCAAAACGAATGGGTGCTCACCATTCACATCCCTCTCCACCCTGCTACCATCTTTCCCCGCCCCTCTCCCAACCCTACCGACGAAAGCAAACAAAACAGCCTATTACGCAAGATCGTGCATATCGCCTGCGGACCGGAACACTCCATCGCGATCGACTCTGGCGGCGCTGCCTGGACGTGGGGCGCGGAGGGTAGGGCATGTCTTGGGCATGGGGAGGCCGGCTTCGGAGCCCCTGGTGGAGGAACGGCGGTCGCGGCGGAGGCCCAAGCAAGAGCGATGGGGCTTGCCGGAGAAGGCGGCGGGTGAGCAAAGCGGATGATGTTGGCCGTGTATCGACAACGGTGTCAGTTGCTTGATTTGCGTGTTTTCTTGTTGGCGGTGCTGGGGTCTTTCATGCACCGCTGGTTGTCGAATGCTTTATTTCCCAGATCATGACGGATAGCTCGGAAAGCCCGCAGTCCATGCTCCCCGCGAAATCGAAGAGTGTAGAACCTTAACCTCCCCCATGGAAAGCTGTATTGTATTTTCACTCTCCAAACGCCACCAACAGCTCAAATCACCCCCGTGCGCCCCGGATACTGTAACCCGGGCACCCCGCCAGGACCGACAACCGCCAAACACAAACCTTCATCCCGCTCTCGCGGGAACGCGAGGTATCCCGGGCGCGCGCTCGCCGAGCGTTGGCCGGTGGGTGGGCCGTTCCGCGCGAGATCGCCTCCCTTGCCTCTCCGCCCCCGCCTCCTAAAGCGACGGCAACAAACACCCGTAACACGGGCGAAGGAACTGGGGGGGTGAAGGTAGTCGCCGCCGCCTGCGGGTTTAGCCACACGGCCCTCGTGACCGAAGACGGGAGGATGTACCTGTTCGGGGAAGGGGCCGCGGTGGCCGGAGGCGACCTGCAAGCTCTGGAAGGGGAAAATGGAGGCGTTGTCGAGGGGGCAGCACTGAGAGAGGCCGGGGGCCTTGTGCGGCGGCGGGGTTCGGAGGGAGGAGAAGATCATAAGGGGCCTGATGCCGTAGCGGTACGTAGACAGAGACGGGCCTGGGGGCGATGATTTCATGTCCGGCTACCTTCTGCGCTATGCTAGACATTCTGTCTTCCTTGAACGTTGAAACTTTAAGTTTGAAACAAAGTCACTGAATGTCTCGACTGCTGCGCCGCCGTTGTGAACCAGGCCCCACAAACGTTTCAGCTGTGCTGATCGCGGACCGGGTTGCCGTATTCCCCGCAAGGCATATGGCAGCCGACGTGGCGCCCTTCAGGCGTACATGTGCGGTCGATGGTTTCGGGGGCATGCTCATCATGGCATCAACCGCACTCGACATCATCCAACCGTGTCACTATTCTGTTGATGTATCCCATTTGCTTTTCAGAGTATGAAAGGTCCCGATACAAACCCTATTCCAATTGAGCGCTAACCTAGAGCGATGGGCAATTTGCGTGCATGTTTGCAGGCTCTTTCAGCGGTGGCGGGACCGACCCCGGTCCCCAGGGAGATGTGTTCATCTTGGTTTCCTACCTTGGCGGCGCGGCGGGTGGCGGCGGTGGCGTGCGGTGGGCAGCACGTCTTTGTTCTTCTCGCTGGTACGTCGTGCAGCGGCTGCCACTGATTCAATTACTGCGCGGAGCAGTGGTGGTAAACATGTTCTCACGCAAAACTGCACATGACTAGACAACGCACGGCCCTGGTTGCTGTCAAATTGGCAGCTTGCCTAAGGTAAACCGTGCTGGTTCTCGAAGGGATTCTCGGAAAATTACTAAGGTGGTGTGGTTGTCTTGGACGACCCTAGTTCTGTCGCACACGGCCGAGTCGGTCTAAAAGAAGCAGTTCTTCTCGGCCATGTCATTCCATTCCTGACGTGGCGAAACATGCCGACCCCAAGTCGAAGTGAGCCCCTCGTCACGTATCGGTCGGTCTTCCCCCAACAGGAGATCGAATCGGGTACACCCTAGGCATGGATCTTTTTCGAACAGCCATGGGCACCGAGCGACACCTTCCGGGTGACCCCGCATCATCAGAAAGAGGCGTTCTTCGTTCGGGGGAAGGGTCCGTCGACGGAGAAAGGGAGGGGGCGGTCGGCTGGGCGAGAGGCGGGGTGGACTGCGAGCTCCTCGTGGCCGGGAGTTATCTCCACGCTCACCGGGTTGTGCTGGCGAGGCGGTCGCCGGTCCTGAGGGATATGATCGCCCAGGCATGTCACCGATTGTACCGCTTGTTTCTAGTCACGCGCGGGTTTGGGTTTCCATGCTCGTCTTGCAAATGCCGTGGCTTCAAACGCGCCGGCCACGAGACAACAGCCAAAGAACTTTCATCCATACAAAAAAAAATAGCACGGGCACTGCGCGTCCTTCTGTGCGTCTGATGGGAACGGCCCCGAGATCCCCACCTGCTACTGAAGCGATTTCTCACAACATGGTCTATCCGATCTCGCCAATTTGTACCCGCTCTTGACTACAGGAAGAGCGTCCAGCGATCAACGGCGACGACGGCGGCGACGACGGCTTGACTCCTCCTCTGCAGCTACTCCTCCCCGACATCCGCTTCGACGTCGCCCGCGCCCTCCTGGAGTTCCTCTACACCGGCGAGCTGCGCAGCTCGCTTGACCTGGACTCTCCGCTGCCGTACGACCTGCGAGCGGCGGCCAAGTCGTACGGGGTTACGAGGCTGGAGGCGTTGTGCACGGAGGCGATCTCGCTCGGCGGTGACCCTGGGGAGGGCGGCCCGGACGCTGGGTGGGGAGAGGTTGGTATCAAGGAACGTGTGAGCTACGGTAGCTTGAGAAAAAGGTTTGGCTTTTCGGCGGTGTGGTGGTGAAGTGCGGGTGGGTGCCTGAGTGAAGCACCGGACGAAGGTGGTTTGGACTTCGGCATGCACAAACAGAGGCGACTCGACTGTTGACGGTACATCAGAGTGCAGGTTCAAGGACATAGCAGTTGGTGGCACAGAAACTAACACTCCCCAATGCTGACCCTTTTGCAGCAGGGGACGGGCGGATCAACTGTTTTGAAGCCTTATCGACTGTTTTGAAGCCAAAACCTTCTGCTACAATGTTTGGGACACCGTTCCAGGTCGTGCCACCGCCCTCCTTGGCCGGCGATATCGGCGAGGCGCTGGGAACCATGGAGCACGCGGACGTCAAATTCGTCGCCGGAGGCAGGCCCATCTACGCGCACCGGGCGGTGCTGTCGTGCCAAAGCGAGTACTTCGCCGCCATGTTGCGGTTCAGGTGCGAGGCCTTTGCGCGTGTTGTTGTTCCTGAGGCTGAGAACAGTATCTCGGTACTACTTGGGTCAAGCACTGCAGAAGTGCACTTCGTTTGGTCATGTGGATCTCTCCCGAAGACTTTTTACTAAGCGAGCAGTGTTTGAGCCTGTGTTTCCGCTGCGGACGCTGTCGACAGTACTAACGATGACAGTTGGGTATAAATGCCCGCCACATCTCGCTGGGTCTGTTGCGATGCGCGATGTCATGCCCTGACCGAAATCATACCGCCGGTTCCCTTCGGATTGTGTCGAAGGGATCAAATGAGGCGCGGTGCTGCCGACACCCATAGCGGGCGAGACGAGCACGGGGGCCACTCCACCGCGATGGCGGAGATCGTTGTGCCAGACTCCTACGCCGGCTTCGTCCGGCTCCTGCTCTTCTTGTACACGGGTGGGCCGGCTGCACTACCATTGATCTCATCCGCATCATGTCCGTGGGAACATCCCTTTCCCGTTCCGTACGCCAAAGCGCGTGCATTGTATCCGTGGATTCCATCGCTATCCCCTGCCGTATTTTCTTCTCGTACACGGGCGGCTTGTCATGGAACTGCACCGATGTACCTGCTACGTACAGTAGTTGTTTTCCTTCGCTTTCCAAAACGAACTTACCTTCAACAGCTTGCAATTTTTGTATCCGAAACCGTCGGCACGTATCCGCGGCATTGCAACCTGCAGCTTCGTTGTGCAGTCACGGTGCAACCTCAGAGAACGCGCGAGAATGCCACACCCCAACCTGAACCCTTTGAAGGGCCGTAGTAGTGGGAGAACACGTGGAAGACGCCTTCTTTCGCGGCAACGTCAAAACGGCAAAGACCGGCTGGACTTAAAAAGGCGCGAAACGACACCAGGCTAGGTAGGTAACCCCCCCCGTATCCCCGCGATGTCATTTCTTTCACCAATCAACACCGTGGGTGCTTCCTTTGTCGATGTCCCCAGGAGTGTTGCCGGACGCTAACCCTGAGTCCGTTCTGGAGGACCTCGTCTGTGCGGACCGATACCGACTGCTGGGGATGAAGCGCGTCTCCCAAAGCATGGTTCGGCTTGCTGCCGGCAGCTGCTTGCAGGTGTTCTGAAATGTCTGAATTGTGGAGTTGTTCGGAAGGATGAGGATCAAAGCGTTGCCTCTCCACCTAGCTAGAATGAAACAAATTGGTTGATGACGTGACCAAACCGTAACGAAGTACGCGACGTGCCGCGCCTGAAACACTTTACGATTACCGCTGTGGTATCCAATCCCGTCTTGAGCTGTTTCGGTTTATGACAGAAGAGCTTGGGCATTGAGCGCCGCGCTGGTTTTCTTTCCGGTTTCAGCTGCATTACCTCGCCCACACCCCCCGACCCCTGGATGCACGTTTCCTCTTCAACCGGCCAAACGGCCAGGCGCTGGAGGCTGCGGAAATGGTAAACGCGCCGCTGCTACAAAGAGCAGCTCTGTTCCATGTTGAGCACAACCTGCACCAGGTTTCCCAACAAAAAGGCTTTCCCGAAATCATCTCGGGGACGCCTGGCGTGGCGGAGGTATGCCAAAAAGGGTATACGCAGAGGATATTTGCTATTACAACCCCAGGGAGAGCGTAGGGCACATAATCCCGCGGAGCACAGATATTGCACAACAAATTGAGACCGTAGCCTTCGGGGAGGATCGTCAAACTGTGACCACCCACACCTTCATGCTCTAGACCCCTTCATCGCATACCGCACGGCGGTCAACAACCCGTCTGCCTGGTACAATACGACGCGCTTTCAAATTCCTCAACAATTTTCTCCACCCTTATGACCCGACCAGGTGCTTCTCTCGCGGTTGCACGCCACGGCGGCAAACGCCTCCGCGGTGTCCTCAGCGGCGGCAAGGCAAAAACGCCTCTACGCCCGCAGCCGGGAGCAAACGGTCGAAGCGGATGGCCACGGAAAGTCCAACGGGCTGGTAGAAGGCGGCGGGGATCCTTCATTCAGGGCGGACTCCCCCTTCCCGTGGGGCGCCGCGCTGGTGGCCGTGGCCTGCGCGACCATCTACTACAAGGTCTCCAATGTCGTCGCGGTGGGCATGTTCGTGCCCGTCGTGAACGGCGTGTTTCTCGTCTGCCTCGCCGCGTTCGCCTTTCACAAGCTCAGAGACAAGGGGCTGTTTGAGGGTGGTCGCGAGAAGAGGATCCACCGGAGGCAGCAGTTGCAGCAGGGACGGGGGCGGTTCGTAAGGAAACGTGGGGGTTGGAGGGAGAGGAGGCGGGAGGCGGCCGGGGGCAGTGGTCGTGGTGGGAGCACCTATCTCTTCGGATAGCACATTTTGGCGCAAAGGGAAGGTCCGCCAACGGCAAACGAGGGAGCGGTTGGGGGTGCGTGGAGGAACCGAGGGGCGGGTTACGTGTGGAGGAGATGATGGTGGGGGGGGAAAGCACGTCGTCGAACATTTTCTGCTCACAAAGCTTCTCTGTTGGCTGTCAGCATGCAAGGTCGTGATCGACATTTCTATACATTTGGGGTTTCGCGATGTCACGGGGATGCACACTGTTTTTAGGTGGGTGGCAGTGAAAGAGGTAGGACCACCGCTGTCAGCATATTGTATTGCTTGTGTCGGCAGATCACGTGTAGGACTGGGTGCGGCCAGGTGGGAGAGGGAATATTGGTCTATGCGATATCGGGCTTATCAACGTTTTGAGACGTGGAGATGACAAAACGTGGTGGACAGAGACGCCCCGTGATATCGCGAAGGGGAGAGGACGTGTTCCACCATGTCCTGGTGTTAGCATTAGTGAAAAATCGCAATCCATGAAATCAAGCTCCAACAGCTTGGCGTCACGGGAAGCAACGCGGACGAGTGATGCAGTTGCTCCCCCAGGCTGGTTGATCTTTGCTAAAAAGTCGGGCTAGTTCCTGTCACCTTGATGGTGTGTGTTGGTGAATGGATTGAGGTAGGTTTTCAAACAGGGGGCATGGTCACTTGCGCGGACAACCGTAGGATATTCATTCGTGCGTAGCGACGCACTCACCCGTGTACGCTTGCTTGCCGTGTGCTCGTGCGGGTCATGAACGAGCGGTTGAACCAAGGTCGTGAGCGAACGTTCTCATTTTGGACAGTGATAAATATATCCTTCACGACATCAGATATTGGTGTACTCTTCCGGCATTGATACACGCTGGTTTTTTTGTATTTTTTTTTAGGAGGAGGGAAAAATGAAGCGAGAAGAGAATCCCTAGGGCGGGCTCAAACACATGTGGGGGCGAAGGGTGAACGAGAGGAGCATCACCCCCCCGAGCAGTTCACCCCGAGGGCGTGGTAACCTCTCGTAAAGCATGGGAAAAATGTTCAAAATGGTTTGCATGTATATGTCAACGATCGATGAGTGTCGTGTTCTACTAAACGATGCCATACTTTACAAAGGGTCTAACTTGTAGTCTACTGTACGTAAACTTATTCATTAATTCAAAATGTAACAAATGGTATTCTAGTCTACTGTGTTTATCATACCACTTCATTCATCCCCTCCCTCCGTTTGTGATGCGTTTTCGACCCACAACAATCATCGAGATCGGTTGTTTGCAGTAAGGGCTGCCTGCTGCTGGTTGCTCGGCACGCGACGCCTAGCATTTGCCACACATCATCAGTATCATTATACAGTGTGAATCAAGCGCGCGCGATTGAACGAAATGAATCTGGGGATGGTGGAGAGAATCGTACAGTGGTGGCAAGTAAAATGAAATCGATGCCCAGGGAAGTTTCAGAGGGAATAAGGACAGCCACAGGGGCGGTGAACGCATAGCGCAGCAGCAAAATAGGAGGAAGAGGCAAACTACAGCTCCTCCCGTGAGGCGAGAGGACGATCCGGTACAGAGTCCACCGAGCAATCGGCGCGAAGTCTCTTAGAGAAGAACGGGTTTTCGGCGTTGCCTCGGCTTGTCAACTGATTGAACGGAAAACCCTCCCTCCTTCACCAACCCACGAAGGGTCTGCGTCGCCTCGTTTAGATACAAAACCAACGAGGTCTCGTCTTGCTATTTACTACTACTACTGCTGTTTGCAACTAACTGTTCTCGAGGGCGGGGGGGGGATGGAAAGTGATGACGGTCTATTTATTATATACTTACGCTATGAGTCGGGTGAGTATTACGAGGGACCCACGGAAGAGTTGGGGCTGTAAGCCTCGGCTAGTAGTAAATGCTCGGAGAATTCACAGAATATTACCTGGTACGTGTGGGGCTCGCGAGACACCGGTGATCCGTGCTAGGGCTCCCTAAAGTCACTGGAACTGGCTCTTTTTTCATCTGGGTTGGGAATCCGAACAACAAACAAATAGCACCTCCTCGAACGGCATGAAAGTGAAACAGGAGTTTTTTTTCGCCCGCGCCACGCGCGCCGCGCCCACACAGCTGCCTGCAGTGATTGTTGTGTACACAAACACTACGCAGCAACTGGCGCATGGGTACCCACTGCGGGCATCAATACTCTTGGTGTTGCTCATGGGAACACCCCACGCGACACAGAAGTCCTCACGCACAACTCTGGCAGCGGTTATGTAACTTTCACTTCCGAAAATCGAACAATTCAAATACTGCCTTGTGGAGTCTGTTACCCAAAGGGGAGACATCGTTGTATGCTGTCTGGGAAACCGTAGACATACAAGTAGCTTTTCGCTCACGCTATGGATTCATTGCTAATCTATGTCAGACTTATTTATACAGATAAGGATGGATTTGTTGTGTGATACTAATAAAATAAATAATATACTTCGAAGTAGACGTTAGTTGTGGCACTGCAGGTAGCAGTACGTTGAGCGTCGTTGGTGTTTGCGTGAAAAAAAGAACAAAGTCCCACAGACTCGACTGTGGGAAACATGATCACACGCAGCGGATTGCAGCAGTAGGAGGACCTGCAGCAAAGACGCCGCTAGCTACATAGACCACAGGCGGGTTGTCACGGTCACGGTGGGGAGAAAACAAAATACCCCGCACATTATGTAAATTCCAGGACAAATTTGTATTTATTCAAGTTGTACTGGAGCCGGCTCTACGGAACGTCATGACGACCCACCATCCATGCGACCGCGATGGTATTGATTGGCCATGTCCTTCTTGCGTCGGCCCCGGGAGGCAAGTCACCTGTAATTCCCGCAGGGGAACCTTGTACTTCATAGGTACAGATACCCCGTGCAGTTTCCAAGTGCTTTCGTATCTAGCCTAAACCATTAGCTAGATCCGTTACTTTTTTTTTTTTTTGCCTTCCGACAATTGCAGATGTACCTCAGAAAACTTTCACTTGATGTAGTCGAACGGTGAGACGGACGTGTAGTTCAGTTTTGGGCACGCGTACGGTGCTGCAGGGATTATATATAGGTGTAGTAGTACCTCTTCGGGCTCTTGTATAGCTTTCTCTTGCTACGTGTGCGTGTTCTTTAGATCCTCAGATGGCTCTAGCACTTTCGTGACCACGGGCCGAGAGTCTTTGCTAGATTTTGGCATTTAGCAACTGGCATACGGTTTAATGTGAAGTCGACAACAACAACAATGTCTGATAATACTCTACATGAATATCTAACCAATACGAAGTACAACGTTACTATTGTTTGTCCGCCCCCGATCTACATACATAAGATTGATTGATTTGACATAGCTGTATGCGTCGCTCTGTACAACCTACCTACCCAAGGTGCAAGCTCTTCTTCTGCGGTCGAGACGTGCGGGTTAATTCTACACTTCTAGACGTAATGCCGGGCGTCCGGAAGCCTGCGTCGTATGTGGCCCGGAACTCATTCGGTGGGCAACAGGAGGCAGACAACAACGCCGTCCACAGCACGATACCGATTCACGGGACGAACAAAAAGATGGGGCGGGAACCACGCCGTGATACTGGCGGCACTCGAGCAAGACCTCCTCTCTTGGTGAGAATCCTCGTGAGGTCAGTCACCGACCCTCGTGTGGTGACGTTGTTGGTGCTGACCGCCGTGACCTCCCCGGCGCTGTTCTTCTTCGGGCGGGACGCACATCGTCCCGAGGGGACAAGAACCAGCCGTCTGCAGACAGACCCAGACCCACGGCGACCAGCTACTGCCGTGCTGTTTCCCAGAACGCTGCAGCAGCCGTCCTTACTGCCTCTGCGATCGCAACAACAGCCCCTGACCCCAGGCCAGCAGCAGCAGCAGCCTGGCAGTATGCCGCCACCAACAGAAGAAACGGTGAAGGATAAACCTGTTGAGGAGTGGGCGAAAACAGCTGATGCGGTGTCACCTTGGAAGCCGGCGGTCCTGCCGCTGGAAGAGGCGAAGGACGCGCCACCAGACAGAGGAGAGGAGTGCTTGCCGAGCCCGTTGTGCGAAAAGCGAGTTGACCCGTCCAAGTTCGAGTTTGGGTGCGAGGAAATAGAGGTGAGTGGAAAACGAGCTGTTGCCATATAGACTATGCTGCTACACACGACATGCCGCCCGAAGTTGGGAACATACAGCAGTAGTACAGAGCCTGCCCGCTTGTAAGCTTGTTTATGGTTTCCAAAACTTTATCTTCCTTTCTTTGGACAAATGTTGACTTTTTCGACCTTTGAGAACATAGCTTTGGCTGAGATGTCTACAGACCGCCTACATGTTTCGCCAGGGTCCACGTTTGATTTTTTTGCCAGCAGAGCAAGATGTTGAAGATTCGGCCGAAAGGGCACCTCGGAGCAAATCTTGGGCCAAGATCTGTCCAAAAGCTGGTGTTGGAAAAACTCTTGCGTGAAAATTGCGCACCCTGAAAAAATCAAATGTGGACCCTGGCGAAACATGTAGGCGATCTGTAGACATCTCAGCCAAAGCTATGACTGCTGAGCCCAATATCCGCGATGACCGTTGTAGTCTAGACTACAGGACGTGTAGTCTATGCAAATTGTTTTCGAGCCTTTTGAGTCTTGAAAGATCGTGCACACACGCTGTAGAACGAGCGTCGCTTGATATTCCTAGGGAACGGGCGCGAGCGGAGATATAAGTTTCGAACGAACTTAGCGTTGCAGGTCCCTTCGCCCTGATAGTCTAACGTACAGCGGGTGTTCTGACCTGCCGGATACCGGCATTTGGTAACGGGTCAGCACTGAATTATTTGCTTGCACAAAATTCTTCATCACTAGACTAGACTATACAGCGAACAATTTGTACCCAGTACCCGACAATCGCCTGCACAAGAAGCTCCCGTAAACACCGATTGTTGGAGGCGAACAAGACAGTTATACCTGGGAGGGCACAAGCTGCCCACTCGCAACAGAAAACCGTGCATCTCAAGCCACCGTCAAACCCCGAGATCATCACGACATTCGGGACCCAGCGCCCATCGTTGTGTTCGGGCTAGCTACCCGCGGCACTGAGTTCGTTGCCAAGCACGGCAACGAACCAATTGGGCGTGCCTAACTCTTACGCGTCCAAGGGAAAGTCACCAAGCTTGTAAACTTTTACTTTTCTCGCGACGGTAACTGCGCTAGCACATAGCCCCCTACTGTCAAATGGACGGAAGCGATCGTCATAGCACGGGACCTCGACGCCTTGAGGAGTTTTGGTGGTATCACCCCACACGCAACCTCATATGGAGTATAATGCATGTCCAGGTGGGGTGAGGAAACTACACAAAGACAGGAAATAATTTTGGTTGGTCGAACCAATACCAATACCGTCAAAGAAATAACGATGGCAAAATGGGCAAACACATCTTCGTTGTTCGCGGGACGACCGACATCATTAACGACCCAGGGGTTTAGTCCAGTGATTGCCACGGCAGGATTCCTGGTGCGTCGGAGAGCTACGTAGACTGTGATTCTGGGTGAACAAACTGCTCATAATGAATGCACTCCTCGGAATGCTCGCGCCCAAAGGAGCCCAACGGCCGGCTGACCAACGCAAATCGTACACCAAAGCCAGCCAATCAACGACAAAGACGGTTGATTCATATACAGGGGGCTCCCCGAACAGGGAAGCTGCGGAGGAAAATAACACCCTCACGGGTTCAGAGTACGGTAGTAAGTGTACAAGGTAAGACGACGTACAACACCACCACACTCTTCATGGCGATGTTCTACTGTAATACTGCTGCTGTAGCATCGTGTCCCCGATACCGGTTGGGGTTTGGGGTTTTAGGGTTGGGGCCCCTACGGCGATGGGGGAGAGACAGGTCTTTTGGGGGGGGGTGCCTGTAAGACATGAAACAACAATCATTGGTCGCCAGTCAAACTCTCGCCAAAACAAAAACCCGTGAAAGACAAGACACTGCTGTTAGAGCGACTTGTCGTCGCCAAACTCTTGCGGGACAATAAAAGCGGATGGTGCATGATAGGCACTGTGAAGCTGAAACACATCAGATGTGCCAGCCAAGCATAGCACCATACCTCCATTCGGCCGATTGGTGTTGGTTTCTACATAGTCTATGCGTCAAACACCACCCAATTGGTCTGCGCCAACATAACAAAAAGTACAGATAAGCATTCGCATACATGAACAGGCACATTTGATCAATGCGCTGTGCCGAACCTCGCTTTCGGATCGACAAGACAACAGACCTGCTGCCTATGACACAGCACGGCGTGCTTACACGTATGTATACGCACGCACCGCCGCGTGTCTCTCGTGTTTGGAGGCACTTTCCGCGCGAGCAAGTGGTGATACAGTTCTGTCTGTGCATTTCGTCATTATTAGCATCGACCCGCGGCTCAACCCGCCGACCATCGAACAGACAGACAGGTATGCTGTAGTCCAGATGTCCGTCCGTGCGGCTGACTACAGAAAATACTCTCCTCCTTCTGTCGGCCATGGTCTGGACACGCAGGAGTGAGGGGGCGTGATGGGAGAGCCGAGACTATTCTCCGCCGGATTAGTGACAGAGCGAGGAGACGGTACTTTGCAGATGGAGCGAAATGCACACGTACGTACGTTTGCCTAGGCTTCTACTGTACGTTCGAGATTACTCGTTCGTGTGGGTTTGTTTCGGCCCCGTTCGCATGGCATGCATGCTGTTGCTGCTTCCATCAGACTCTGCACATACATACATTATCATCGTCCTTTCCGTCCACCACTCTCTCTCTCTCTCTCTTCTGTGACGAGATGCAACGATCTCTGACGCGGGTTCAGTGTGGAGCTAGTCCGACCACTGTGTGCAGGTTGGAGCCGCTTCGCTTCTTCAGTCTGTTTCCATTCTTTTCCTTCCTTTCTCTCTCTGTCGCTCGCTACATATCGCTCACTCCAAGGCAATACCAGGGAACACCAGGCAACACTGACCAAGGTGGAACGCTTGCACATCGCTTGTTACTGCTAGTAACCATTGTACCACTACCTGCCTAAAATAGTTTAAAGTCGGAATACTAGGGATCTGGGCAGGAGGTATCTGGGCAGAAGGTCGGGGGGGGGGGGGNCTCATAGTCGTGCATGCCGTAGTCGTTAGACCATTGACCTCGCATCCCTACAAAGCCGGGACGGAGCACGCCGGGTTCTCACCGGACCAGGCTCTCACATTACCAAGCGCGAAGCGCCGTGAGGTATTCGGCGAGTCGCATGAAGGGTGCGCTGTATCCTGGTGTGTTCGGCATCTTGTGCTTGCTTCCTTGCGTACGGATGACAGCCTCGTATGACTCAATTTATTTTCTGGTGCTTTCACTTCCAGAGACAGTTTTAAGCACTGGGCAACTGCCTCGAGGGCGCTTGACCATTGTAACACAACGTGGTGCGATCATCCCCCTTGCGCGGAGTGAGGGTTCTCGACCCCGCACAACATGATCTACTCGACCACCATTCATGGTTACCGCCAAAAAAAAAGAGACAAAAAAAAGAACGGTAACCTGGTTGCCGAACTCACGGTGAGTTAGCTTGTATTACAACGTCGTTGCCAAGCGACGAAAACCCAATCCGGATGGCAAACACCGAGGGGGGGGCAGGAGGTCGGGATGTTCCTGAAATATACCCGCCCAGATGGTATCTTGATCTAACACTTCACTACACATTACTTTTCCACCCTACATGTCTACGCGCGATTCTTGAATAACGTACGGTCCCATGGAAATCCCATGGAAGTGCAAAAGCTTCCATGGAAGTCGAAACATAGGCCATGGAAACTATTCGAAACAGGTTTAGGTCTGCTTCAAAAGAATCATTCAGCCTCGGGTCAGCTTCGTGGTCTTCACGGGGTAAGGGTCAGGGTTTGGGTAGGGAAGTTGGAATGAACACATTTGCAGACGCTTCCGTGGAAGTTATTTCATGGAAATCTTCGTGCTTCCATGAAGTAGCAGAGACTCTGTCGAGCTACGAGCTTCCATGGAAGTACTACTTTCATGAAAGCTCGTCGCCCTTCCGTGGAAGTCCAAAATGAGACTCTCATGGAAGCAGCGATCGGTTGATATCGGGTGCTTCCGTGGAAGCGGATCAACGTCCTGGAAGTTGTTTACCACTTCCATGGAAGCATCATGGAAGCTGAAACCCGAAACAGACGAACACTCTCATGAAAGCAACCCGAAACAGACGAACATAAATCCATCGAAGTCAAAAGCGACCCGAAACAGACGAACGGATTCCGTGGAAGTCAATTTGACTTCCATGGAAAGGGGGTAACCAATTCCATGGAAGCAGTGAACCACTTCAGTGGAAGTCTATTTCGGCTTCCATGGAACCATATTCCATATGTCCAATACTATAGGTTACCCTTCTGCAGCATGCAGCAAACATCTGAACGGTGCTCGGACAACCAACGCCACCCCCATCCCTTCGTTATGCAGTCGATGCTTGCAGACGAGAAGAAGCTGATCGGCCACGGCAACATCAGGGATGTCTACCTCGTTGAATGGGGGGGGCGGAAGCTGGTCGTCAAGGCCCTTCGCGAGGACTTCGAGCTGAGAGCTAGCAGGAGGAGAGCGGACAAGATCCACCGCTGGGAGGCCACGGCGCTAGACGAGGTGAGCGAGCAAGCAAAGTGGGTGCGCCTCGTGTTTTACAGCGTACCACGCGAGGTGGATGTACCACCCACCCCGGGTGGATGTATCGGAATCATTCCACGACGACGACGACAAAAACAGCACTTGAAGCAAGAGAACGGCAACGAAAGATCACGACAATGTCAGTTAACACGAGCAACCACAACGTCCACGGTAACAAGGCGACACCACGCATGCAAGCAACTTCCCGAGATCGACGTCAGCAGCAACATGAACCCATGCAACACTCCCACCAGCTAGCAATAATAACTCGCTCCGCCTCCAAAGTGATACGTTCTACGCGGTGGCCCACCGCCTGAGGCAGCATTCGAATGAAGAATACGAATATAGAGCCCACGAGTCCCGAAAAGTTCGCTTTTGACTGGTGGTACGTAAGTCTAAGCCATACTCGGACGGGCACGAACGCCCGCAGGTTCGGGGGCACCCCAACATCGTCGACATGCTGGGCCTCTGCGAGTCGTCTTCGGTGTCGGAGTTTTTCCCCAGCCGCCTGGATGACCTGGTCCTCAAAGACGGGGCTAAACCACTGCCGATCGCATTGGTGGTGAGTTGCCGAAGGTTGGTGCGTTGGGGGTCATGTTCTGCACGATCTGTCTGTGCGTGAGCGCCTCTCCCTCCGTCCTTTTAGCCGTCGTCTTAGTTGGCCGATATGTCCGCTTTGCCCTTGTGTCGCCAGTAGCGCGGTGGAGGTTTGTCGTGTGAATCAAGCAAGAAGAGGTGTGGCTCCCTCTCGCAACAGAGAAAACGATCGCGGGCGGGCGCTCGTTCTGAAGATATTTTCAGCGCGCTCTTTCCCCAGTCAGTAGACAACGGAAAGCCTTGTCAGAGCAGTTGTCGCCCCCATGGTGAGGTATGTATTTTCCGCCATACGATCAGCGAGGAACAATCATTGCTTTGAATATACTGGTACATCAATCATGTCGCTTCATCACACACATACTCCATGACGCCTCTCGCGGGCCCAGATTATGGCCTTCAGAGGCATCTTCCGTTTTCAATCGCAATGGCCACTGACGTATTTTCTTTGGTCAGCCGGTTTAGCGCGGTCGATCTTTATCATAGTACCACAACACACATTCACCGTTGTTCCACAGGTGTCCATGGCTCTGGACGCCGCTCGAGGGCTGCAGGCCCTCCACGAGGCTCCAGGGGGAGCCATCGTCCACTCCGACATCAACCCGCAGCAGCTCATGCTGGACGAGTACGGGAGGATCAAGATCAACGATCTCAGCATGTGTAGGTTTCCGCCGGCCGACGCGGAAGGGAACACTTGCCCGTACCCCGCACGCGCGCGTAAATCAGGTTAGATGTACGCGTAGATGTCGGGTGTCAGGAAGAGGGTTGTATTGTCATTGCGTGGTCGATATCGGTGCTGGTGCTGGTGCTGGTGCTGGTGTTGCTGGGGACCGTGGCTGTCTGGGTATTCTGCATCGAAAAATCATTGATTCTTGCCCGGCACTCCAACATTCTGTAGACCTGAGGACAGCTGGTGTGGCATGAGGCAATATGCTGTGCTTTCAAACCGACAAACTCCAATAGCAACCCCGGAACTTTGTTAAGGGAAAAGAGCCTAACCTTGGTGCATGACACCAGCTGGCATCGCTGACAGTTCAGTGTGTAGGTTAGAACGGACTTGAAATAGCCCGGCATCCGGCAAGCTTTCTCCCTCACTCACTGCGAAGACTTTCAACGCATCTCCTTTAACTGCTGAGGTGATCTCTCGAACGTGTACAACACTAGAGTCTTTTCCTGTGATTGTGTGATGACTCGAACATGTGCTGTAGTATTGTCAGTGATTGTATGTTGAGATGTGCCTTTCATAATTAAACTCGGCACCACGGATATCACACGAACGTGGAGGCCAGCAAACTCGATGGCGCAAATAATCCAATAGAGGTACGGTGTATAGCCCGAGTTTGGTAAGGCTTGGAAACATTCGAAAACTAACGCCCGAGCCTTTTCGACATAAGAATTCACACGACGGGTTGCCCAAGTTAGTCGAACCACCATTTCGACAATGTCCATGGCAGATTCGGTCACCTTACTACGGGCAAGGGAGTGGCGAAGTCATATTCAAAGTCGTTTGAGAAATCAAGAGCAGGCTATGGAATTATTGACCCTTTTCAAACCAGTTGCTGCTGTTTTTTTCCCGGAAAAACTGCACAACAGACTTCCGCGAAAGGACACAATATTTTCGTACGCTTCAATAAAAGGGTGCATGTGCAGTTGATACACATACATTCATTTTTTCATCTCCGTAGGTACAGTGGACCGACCATCCATCCACCAGGCCACCCCACCACCCCTATGGCATGCTTTCCTTGTGAAAGAGCATAGCTCCCATGTTCCTATTACCCTTACCGTAGAATCTAACATGTGTCCGATTTTGTAAACGCCTGTTTGGCGGCAGACAGTACTTAGCGGAACATACCAACAACGACAAAAACATCCTCCAACCGCATCATGCTTGTTGCGCATGAATCGGTTGCCACAAGGCTCATTCAACAGTTTTTTCGCGCATTCGTTTGAAGCCTCAACCACTAAACACTTGCTGATTCGACTGCAAGACATTTCGTTTTCGATGAGCACATACAGACTGATATAGCTGGTTTTCCTCATGGCCCCGTAAACAGCTGGTCTCGAGGCTCCCATTCCCCTGTTTTGCTCATGTTTTTTTCTTGCTGCCCCCGGCGTGCCTCGCAGGACCATTTCGCTCGCCAGAAAGCATCGCCGGAGAGGTGAGGGAGAGAGAGAGAGAGAGAGAGAGAGAGAGAGAGAGAGAGAGAGAGGAGAGAGAGAGAGAGAAGAAGAGAAAAGTCCTTGCTGTGTGTTGACGAGGATGGAGGAGGCTGGTGCAGTGGAGTGGGTCTCGGGCAGCAGTGCAGAGGAAGGCGTACGCAGCGCAAGAGCGCCTTGGAACATGGTCTATAAGGCCACGGGGGGAGAGTTTTACTCTGTGGTGAGAAAAAGAGGTGGCGGTTTCTTCTCGTCTTTCTTTGTGGAATACCGATGACACAGAAGGGAACTTGGCGAGATACCCTTGGTTGTAGTCGGAAAGTTCGACTCGTGCCGCCCAACGCCACCCCAGCATCCGCCTACGGTGGCCCCGAAAGCGCGACCTGCTTTATTGTAGCGTGTGCCTGACAAAACCTGGCACACATCGCCATGAGCTGCTTTCATGCGTGTTTATCAACTTGTGCAATCAGAGCAGCACCAAATCTTGATCGAGTGTCGTGGTCGGGAGCCACCTGCTCCGCCAACCGCAAATGATAGGCATAGTCACCGGCTTACGAGTTCGGGGATAACGGAAAGAAGTCACCGAGCCCACCACACGCCCGCTCTCGCCTTCGTTCCCGACAGCCATCATCTGAAAGCTTGACGTATCCAGGTTAGCCATGACCTTTTACGCCCCCACCCCCACGCGCGCTCTATCTCCCACAGCCACTATCTGAAAAGATCGACATCTACAGCTTAGCCATGACATTTTACACCATGCTGGCCCTCAAGCCACCCTACAACGGCGAACCGGGAGCAAGGGCAAGGATCCTCGCCGGAATCCCGCCTTCAGTTAGCCTCTCTTGGGATCAAGGATTCGTTGAGGTTAGTGTGGAGTTGTTATTGTTGTTTTCTCACAACCAAACGTGCCGGTCTCTCTGAGTACCTTCTAATATCCGTACGAGTCCAATTGACGCGGACGCCTTCCGTGGTCGCAAGCCAACTGCCGAAAGTGTGCTTCTGCAAGAGAACGTCGAGTGCTTCTTCTGCAGGGAACGCCCCTAAATTACCTACCTGTAGAACTCAACGAACGGAAGGTAGCACCTCCCTGCGTCCGTCAGGCGCCATGTACTCCTCTCTCTTCGGTCCGGTGGATTTTTGATGGCAGCTTACAATGCGCCATAGGTTTCCAAATCTTCCTCGAACTTTGAAGGGTCATGGGGATGCTATGCATATTGCTCATGACTTGATAATGTTTTCTGGGCTACTGCAGAGGCCACTCCGGCTGCCGTGGCTCTTTCCGTCAGAGCCTCTATCACACCCCACCTCCCGGGGAGGGCACGGAAGCTCCGAGACCATTCAGACCGAACACATTACGGGAGGGGGCCGGAGATATGAGAAGTCCGCTCTGGTCGAGGTCCAATTTCTTTTGTCATCACCACCGCCGAGCACCCCCTTGTTACACGAAAAAGTGAAGTGTCCGATCCTGCCCCAGCTGCGTTTCTTAACCCGTTTTTGTTGTGGTTGAGCTTGTTCGTGAACATTTGAGCCGTTTCTTCCTCTCAAGCCATCCTTCCTAACTGCGGTGTCCGCACTGTCTGCGCTACCACGCGAAACAAGGGCTCGCTCGGGACCGTGCTGTCGGGAAAAACGAGGCAAAAACACGCTACGCTCTTCGAGTCTCCAAAATGTTTTCGACTCTCCGAGTCTTGGGTTTGACCCGCCTGTTCGCCGGGTTTCTCGCGTACCTGACTACTTGCTTCCTCCCCACAGTTTCCGGTCACCCTTGTGAATCATAGACTGGGCCGGCAGAAGCCCGGCATGTATGGCTCCGTCCCAGTATTGATGGTATGTGAGGTCAATGGTCAACCAACTACGACATGCGTTTTCATGAATACCTACCCCCCCACCCCGGTGTTTGCCATCGGGGTTGGGTTTTCGTCGCTTGGCAACGACGTTGTAAAACAAGCCAATTCACTTCGTGAGCTCGGCAACCAGGTTACCGTTATTTTTTTTACCTCTTTTTTTTTTTGCGGTAACCATAGTGGTGGTCGAGTAGATCATGTTGTGCGGGGTCGAGAAGCCTCACTCCGCGCAAAGGGGATAACCGCACCACGTTTTGTTAACATGGTCAAACACCCTCGAGGCAGTTGCACAAGTGCTTATAACCGTATCTGGAAGTGAAAGCACCAGAAAATAAATT